AAAAAAAAGGGACTTGTTCTTAGCATTTAAATAGGCACATAGTCGTCGCCTCATGGACTTATGAAAATTAGTAGACCAAACAAGTTTTTTGTCAAATATGATTTGGATTGCCAGTCAAATTTGCTTTGTGCTTTTCAACAAGTTGTTTACTTGTAAGAGAAATCCGGATGTGATACCTTCGATCTAGGACCTAAATAGGCGAGAGTATTACCGATCGTTGATTTACATTTGAAGTACAATAAATGCAAGCTAACAACTCTTGTTCCTTAACATTTTCAAGTTTTTAGCAAAGTGAAAATTTTTATATGGGGTCCCTAATTAATAAAAAAAAATTACGTCCATATCAAATACAACTAGGTATAAAATGTTTTGAAAATTTAACTAATACCAATTAATATTCCTACATCATGTATAGAAATATTAAATGCCATAATTTGGTCAAAAATCCATATTCTTGAAATCCAATTTAATCATTTAAATAAAATACCTTATATTAAACTAAATTGAATCATGTCCATTATTTTTATCAAATTTCTTTTAGAAATTCATATTTAGTTTAAATTAGAACTATTTCATTTCCAAATATTACATACCATAGAGTAAGATTATTTGACATTATTTTCATATAAAAAATAATTTAATTATCATATATGGCATTTAATTAGAAAATAATCAATGAATATTAATTCATTAAATAAATATTTAATGCCATTAATTTTATAAAAATTCCATAGACTAGGAATTCATTCCATTAATTCAATTATGCATCTAATAAATTCATTTGGATACTTAATTATATTTTTGGTCATTTAAAACATTTTTTTGTCCATATGGAACTATGGTTCCTAATTTATTTAAACTAGTCTATTAAACTAGTCCATCAAATTCATTTATTGATTAATCGTTAAATTCCATTTAATGCCTTAACCTCACTAACCCATTTTTTCCAAACCATTACAATTCCATACTTTTTATCATTAATTCTTTAGTTACTAAATTAGGTAATCATCTATTTAAACCTCCATTTTACTTTTAATTAATTCCTCTCTGTAAATAATTAACTCATTTAGATCATTCTAATTAATTAAATGACCAATTACCTAATCAAGTCAACTCGATGAAACAATACCTAACGTAATACCATTAATAAACTTTCAAACCATTTTATTATCTATTACAAACCAAGATTGCCTAACTTATTACCAATATGCATAACCAAAAACTTAGTTAAGCAAGATAACTTTTTCTCGCTCATTTTTACATAGTAAGCACACACATGGCAAATCTTTGACATTTTTTTGACGATGAACCTTATTCATCTTTCTTTTCTCCTACACCATAAGAAATAAAAGTGAGTGATGCTCGGTAAGTGTAATCCATGCAATATATGTAATGCACGTGATCTATTTAAAAATTATTTTCTTATATTTTGAAATTTATTTTTCTCTTTAAACGCACTCTGCCATTTGTGCATATAATCGACTATTTTTAAAAAATACAATTGTGAAAACTTCACAAAAGTACTAGGTACCTTCCTATAACATTTTCCTTTACACGCTAAGAGTATAAACTAGATAATTCCCTTTCTTGGCGAAAACTAGGCCAATGGAAGGGTAACTTCCATTTCTTCATTCTACCTCAAATTTTCACCACTAACCTCTTAACCTAACATGTTTTTCATCATTTAAACATCAACTAGGTTAAGTTGATCAATCAACCTAAACTTCTTACTTGGCCAAAATTCACAACAAAGTGACGAAGTTTCAATTCTTTCAATTTAAAACCTTAAAGACTTCTAAGACATTTCAACAAAGACCTTGTAGACATTAGGTAATAAAACTGATAATTTATTCATGCTCTAGGATATCCAACCACCTTGTTCTAAGAATAAGGACAACATCAAAACATATGTATTCATTCCAATTTATCACCCAAACATCACAATTCTAACATAAAAAACACATACATCATCGAAACCATCCAATTCAAACAACAACATTGTAACTCCAACAATTTAACCATTAAATCATAAGCAATAAAACCTTAAATTAGAATCAATTACACATCAAAATCACTCATTTCTTATGATGCGGTGAGGATTATACTTACCTCACTTGAAGTTTAGCCAATTCTCCTCTTTTCTTTCTTGGTTTTCTTCCTCATTTTTTCTCCCAAATAGTTCGATTAAAATGAAACTTTTTTCACTTTCTTTGCTTGATCTTTTAAACTGATTTTGCGAGTGTTTTGGAGTGTTTCTAGATTAACTAAGGTAGTTTAGAGTGGTGGTTAGATGGTTTTCTTCTTGGTTGCTCTTGTTCTTCTTTTAGGGTTACTTGAACTTCTATGGCTTCTAACCCTTCTTCCATCTTCTTCCTCCATTATTATAGCCATGGTTTCTCCTTAAGATTAACTCAAGTGTGTCACACTTGGTTTGATCTTAAGTATGGTAATTAATGGCTTCTAGACTTTTCTTCTTCTTCCTTATCTTTTCTTTTTCTTTTCCTTTGATATTTTATCTTCTTTCTTCATCTCTTTGCCGACTTTCTTCCTCTCTTTTTCTCTCAAATTTTCCAGAATATTCTTTCTGGAGTAAGTCTCTTAAAATCAATTAATAAGTCTCCTAAAACATTAAAATCAAGTAATAAGTTTCCTAAAAAATTAACACTTTACAATTTACTTCCTAAACTTTTAATTCTTGCAATCAACTTCTCCAATTTCAGTCTATAACTTTACAATTTTCCTCAACTTAGCCCTTATCTTAAGCCGTTTCCAAGAAAAATTTAAGTTTCTAAAGTTGCTTAATCATTTTACTCAAATACCTAAACTTTTAATTATTACGATTGTACCCTTAGGTTTTGTAATTGCATCCTTAGGTCAAAGCATAAGCATAAGATCAAAGCATAACCAAAATAATTAATAGTACTATCTTCTAATTCAACCCTTACTCATTTCATTAACCTTCCCCTATAATCATACTTTTATTTATTTTATCGTTAATTTAAGTATAAACTTCCATTCCTCACATTTAATAGATATTTCTTCATTAATTAAATAAAATATTCTTATATCGTATTTACATTTAATTAGGATTTTGGATCGGTGATATTACACCAGATCGCCAATGGCACTTTCTTTTGTACCTCTCGAGCAATAGCAAATTTTGAGAATTCAGAATCCATTCCTACTCAAATGAAAGTACTTCGCTGTTATTTCTCTCTTGTCATTGCACGGTCACGTCTTGGTGCTAAAAATACTTAAATCTCAGATTAATATACTGCATCAATTTTTATGACCTCCGAGACTGATTTTGTAATTTGTTTTATTTACCGGTTAATTACGACTTTTTGTATATTGTAACCATCATGCCTCAGCACCATTCAAATGCTTCTCTCTTAGATAATTTCATGGTTTATTAATAAAATTGCAGCATTTTCTTACATGAGAAACTTGTTTGTTTGATGTTTTGAGTTACAGGATCTTCTAGGATCGGTAAACGACAAAAGATTGTTATAGGTAATATAATCATAAGAATCAGATATTCTCTTTTGATTATGACGATGATGATAATGATGATGATGCATGTTCTACTACAGGCATATCAGCAGCTGTGGCAGCGATAATAACTTTTTCCGTAATTGGAATATGGTTCACAGGAAGAGGAAGAGAAAGTTCATCTAGCTGCATAGCAATGAACTTCAGAGAAACATTTGTGATGGATTATCATTCTCTGACTCCAAAGCGTTATTCATATTCAGATATTAAGAAAATGACCCACTCATTCATCAATAAACTAGGTCAAGGGGGATTTGGTAATGTATACAAAGGAAAGTTACCAGACGGTCGTCTTATAGCTGTGAAAGTCCTAAAGGAATCCACAGGTGACGGAGAAGAGTTCATGAATGAAGTTGCAAGCATCAGTAGAACTTCCCATGTGAATATAGTTACCCTTTTGGGTTTCTGCTATGAGAGGACTAAAAGAGCTTTGATCTTTGAATTCATGCCGAAAGGATCTTTAGATAAGTTTATATCTTATAAAGGATCCCCACATACAAACTGTCGTTTAGAATGGAAACTTTTTTACCAAATTGCAGTTGGTATTGCTAGAGGTCTTGAGTACTTACATAGAGGTTGTAACACTCGGATTGTGCATTTTGACATAAAGCCTCACAACATTCTTCTCGATGAAGACTTTTGCCCAAAGATCTCTGATTTTGGTCTGGCAAAGCTATGCAAGAGCAAAGTAAGTAAGGTTTCAATGATAGGTACAAGAGGAACTGTTGGTTACATAGCACCTGAAGTATTCTGTAGAAATTTTGGAGGAGTAACTTATAAGTCTGATGTGTACAGTTATGGAATGATGGTTCTTGAAATGGTTGGAGAAAGAAAAGATTTTGATATTGAATCATTTGAAGCCAGTGAAATGTATTTCCCTGATTGGTTTTATAAACATCTTGAACCAGGAGAGATTTCAAGACTTCATGAGAGTATTACAGAAGATGAAGAAGAGATTGTGAAGAAGATGATCTTAGTGGGTTTGTGGTGCATTCAAACCAATCCATCAGATAGACCATCAATGACGAAGGTGTTAGAGATGTTGGAAGGCAACCTTCAGTTCTTGCAAATTCCACCGAGACCTTTCCTTTCAAGTCCTAAGAGATCATCTAAAGTGGAATCTTCCAGTACATCATTCCCACCATCTCTGTCATTGCAAAGTGATGAGCAACAGAAATCATCTCTAATTAGACGTGACTTGTGACAGGAACCAGTTAACCTTGTGCATGTTCATTTTCTTGTCTCTTCCGCATGTGCGGACAATCGCACAGTACTGGTAAGAGACACCATCCTCTCTGCTTCTGTTTTTGTCAAGGGTAATGTCTGGTAATATTATTTGGACTAGGTGCTAAAAACTGTAAGAATTGGTGTGGCATCCATCACTAATTTAACCATTTCAAAATTTAGACCAAAACTTCGAGGTTATGCTATATCATCACTTATGATTAATGGATATCTCTGGGAGATTGATTGATGACTCCATAATCAATGCTATATCATCGCTTATGATTAATGGTCTCATGTATTCCAATTTCTGTCGCATCCTTGTTACCTATCAATTCTGCATTTTCCCGGGGCAAGGGCTCTTCACAGTTCATCACTACTGAGCTCTTACACTCTCATTCATGGACTATGAAACCTTTCAGCTATAAGGTTAGGTTAGAAATAACAGAGTAGAAAACGTAAGATACAGGGAGGGTCATAGAGCCAAGCAATTCATCAATGTTGTTTTCTTTGGTAATGATATTATATTAAGCATAAGGATTGCTAGGGACAATCGCTTGGTAACTCTCCCTGGAATGGCACTAGCTCTTTTCTGTTGCAACATGTCCTCCAGGAATTTCAAGTCAACCTAAAAATTTGGATGTGAGTCTGACTCATTGCCATGTTATTGTCAACTTAACGATGCGAAGTGACCTAAACAAATGATATCAAAACCAATGGTTCGGCTTGAATCGAGTATCAATTGTAGTTAGGCTCTCGGAACAATTTGAAAACTAATTCTTCACTTAGATCAATTTTAAGGATGTTTACATTCAAGTAACATTAGTTTAATTGATTTGCGTTTTGGTCCCCAACAATCTAAAGAGAAGACGATTTAGAAGAGAAGGAAGGAAATATAAAATTTCAGTTGGAGTCGGTTCTGGCCACCAAAATCAATGTTCTTAGCTTCTGTTTGCTTGTTTTGACAAGGAGAATAAGTTGATAGTGGTGACATGCTCGTAAATCGAAAGAGAAAAAATAGATCGAAATCTGAAGAAGATGATTGAATTTTTAAATTAGGTTTGATTTTTGGCAATTAAAATGTCTCCAACATGAAGATGAATTTATGGAGAACTTTAGACTAATTTTTATGTATACAAAGGTCAAAAAAGGTTTAACCTAAAGTTGGCGTGTAGAGTGTTTGTATAGGTCATGTCATATAGCCCGATACTTGTATAAATCCAAGAAGAATAGTCTTAGTTGGGGGGCAAAACAGTGGGGCCACTAATTTTCTAGAAATTTCAGAAATACAGTGCATCCCCTCACTGTACAAACGAGTCGTTATCTATTTTGGAACGGGCCAGGGGCTTGCCTTATTTGTTAATTCTTTATACTATTCTTAAAACTAATTATTACCATAATATGTTTGATTGAACTTGCTATATAAAATTATAATAACTTTTTGTTCAAAATCCATGGATAACGAAATATGCATTACGTTTTTTTTTTTTAAGAAAAAAAGAAATTTGTAAAAAAAACAAGAAAAAATTAACTGAATAAAAATTATTAAATTAAATGAAAAAAGGTTCTTTACAATTAAATTGATATATTTGAGTCAGCTCGGAACAACCATCATTAGTTCTAACTAAGTTAGGATACCATCATTGTCTTTGCTTGTCTGTATAATTTGTGTGACTAATTCTTGTCTATAAATTTAATTATCAAAAAGAAAAAGAAGAGAAACATTATGGCTTGGATAATATTCCAAGATACATGCAATTTGGCAGGTGGATTTGTGGTCACACATTCTGAGGACTATTTAAAGAAAAGTCAATTAAGTTTTGAACATTTTAAGTCTTTTTGCATCTATTACTATTACTGTTTTCTGATTTAGTATTGATAAAAACTGATATTTTATACGTACTTTTATATCCTCTGAATTTTCTCTATAAGAATCAAAGCTCAAACCACTCCCTGTTCAAAATAATTGCTCAAATAGTTACTTTATTTTTGCCTGAATCTATTTTTTTTTTTTTCATTATCTCCTCTTCTTTTAGCTTTTGTTATGGTTTCGCTGCTTTTGATTCAGATTCCTTCATCCGTAAGCAACAATGACTTGTTCACTTACTGTAGTAATAAGTTTGTGTGTGGGGATATTTGTATGGATTTTCCATTTTGGGGAACTAGCAGACCAACTACCTTGAGGCATTATTGATTTTGTTATCCAACATTTGTGAGACCTTCAAAACTTATTTTTTATGATTTAGTTTGTTGAAAATTTTGTTTATTTCGGTAAGTGAGTTATAATTGATTTAGTAGTCATCATTTAATATTGAAGAAATTAAGAATCTGAAAAAAGCACTAGCTAATATATTTTATAGTAAGGAGTTGGTTATAATTTTGAAAAGATATCAATTACCCAAAAATACTATCTCCTAAAAAAGGTATCAAATCTAGTCTAGTCTAAAAATTTATCTGCTATGGTGTTCTATTTGTGCTAAATTATTTTCAATTTGAACACTCAGTTTTATTTCCAAGGCCAAATTAATTTTTTTTTTAATTTTTTGTATCATATTGAATCAATCGTCGAAAGCTAAGTAAGTTCAACATTGAATCCACTTTAAGTTTCGACATAACTCGTATGTCGGAGAACAACCTAATTACTAAAGTAGTTTATTTGGCTAACATTAGTCCCTATTAGATTTGAAACTTTGTTAGTATTTTTTTATTTTTTTCATATATATATATATATATATATAACTCAAGCATGATTCTCTAGGAAAAAGGCTAAAAATGAGGTTATTGGGTCTTTTAGGGGTCGGAAGGCCCTTGGCCCATCGGGGGCCTACCGGATCGGCCTCCTAGGCGGGCTAACCTCTTCTCACTACCTTGGGTCGGGTTAAGCCCAACCCTCTTTTCTTTCTTTTCTCGTCTAGTCCTAGGCTTCCTCTTTTTTTTTTTTTTTTTTTTTTTTTTGCCCCTTTCTCCTTCTTACTCATCCTCTTTCTTTTCGGATCGAGTGTTCTTTCTCTCTCAAAAATTCATTTCTTCCTCGTTGCCTAGAAATCCTACCCACAAACACTCATCTTTTTTGCAATTAATAATGACTTGGCCTCCTCTTTTTCCTATTATCGACTAGCTAATAGGGTTGAGTAGCGAGGGCTAAACATGGTAGTGGCATTGCCACTGCCATGTTTCTCTCCGGTAATTTGAATTTGATGAACATGGCTAACATGACATAAAAATGGACAGGGGATGAAATTAAAGGTACTTGAATGAAATTGAAAGGATGGGAAGGCGAGTATGAAGATCCTAGTGTTGTTATTATTATTGCCATGTAATTGATCGTGAAAAATGAATGAATGCTTGGTGTTCGATGTTGTTAATTTCAAAACTTAGGAATGAGATTATGGATTGAAATGAGATATATAAACCTAGAAAGACTAGTGTTTGTTGCCAAAAATTTCAAAAGCTTGAAGTTGTCGAAAACATAAAAAAGGGTGGCTTTGCGGATGAGAGGGTGCCTTGTAATTGACTATGAAAAATGAACGAATGCTTGGGGTTTGATGTTGTTAATTTCAGAACTTAGGAATGGGATTGTGGATTGAAATGAACCATATAAACCTAAAAAGATTAGTGTTTGTTGCCAAAAATTTCAAAAGTTTGAAGTTGTTAAAAACCTAAAGAGGGGTGGCTCTGCAGATGAGAGTGTGGCTTTCGAGGGATGATTTTAGCCCGAAATACTCTAAGATCCTTAAAGATTGAAACCCGGAAATGTATTGAAACCCGGATCGCTTTTAAACCGAAAGATGAAGCTTAGAAAATTCAAAAGAAAAAACCCAAAAATTCAAGTGAAACCTAGAAAACCAAGAACACCAACCTAGAAATTCAAGTAAACCTAGAAAACCAAGTTCCTAGATTTCCCATTTGACTATTTCTATACTGATTTCCCTCTTGTCTTTTGATTTCTCCCCTTCTAGCCTCCAAAACACTTCTATTTATACTCAATTTCTATTAAACAAAACCAATTTTCCCTCTCCTTCCTTTAAAGTAAGTAGTTCCGTTCAACCTATTTCTCTCTCCATTTTGTTATTTCCTATCTTTCTAATCATTTCTCATTTTGTAGTGCAACTTGCGAACCAAGGAATGCTTGGATTGATGAGTTGGCTTTAAGGAATCAAATTCATTTAAGAAACTAGGAGATTGAAACCATGTTTGGTAAAATGGTTTTGAAATGCATGAGATAGTTAACTAACGTTTACTAACCCAAATTTGTATTTTTGGCGATTTACTAAGTCAATCCCTCAACTTTTGAAAATTTTCAATCGAGTCTTCGATTCCTTCCAATTATGCCTTTAATTCATTCTGATTTTTTGTTCAATTTAGCCCCTATTAGCTTTCATTTCCAAGCTAATTTAATGAAATTATGCCCTTGATTAAACCTATCCTTCAAATTTTGTATTTTAATATTTTTTATACATATTTTTGCATTTTTATTTCTTTTTTAATATAGTAATAAGTACTACAAATAAAAATAAAATAAAAATTCATAAAAATAATAATGAAATGAAAAATAAAATGAAACATAAATAATGAATAACTAAAATAATAAAAGAGGATAAAATAAATGAAAATAATAAAAATAAAAGAGACAAAATTAGAAGGAAAAAAATATAATTCAAAATTTAGGTTATGACAATTGCTCCCTCTTTACAATGTTTACAGTGCAAATGCTAGTTGAAGTGTTAACTTTAGATTGGGTTTGCTTAATGAGTTTGTAAAGAAACAGAATAGAAATGAATTAAATAGCAAAAAGGTTTGGTCGACATAGGTTGTTTGATCTCGTGAAAGTAAGATGCGATGTGATGACCTTATTGTGAATGACGATCTATCCTAAAAAGTAAAACACACTCGTGATGGCTTCGTTGTCTATGGTGGCCTAGCCTAAAAAGAAAGATTCAATGGTTTATTGATAGGCGACCTTGTCCGAGATAATGGTCTATTAATAGGTGACCTTACTTGAGGTAATGGTCTAATATTAGGCGATTGTACCTAGATGATAGTCCGTTGTGAGGTGATCGTACTTGAATAATGGTCTATTGTTAGGCGACTATGCCTAGATGATGGTCTATTGTGAGACGACTATGCCTGGATGACGGACTATTGTTAGGCGACCATGCTTAGATGATGGTTTATTATTAGATGACCTTGTCCGGATAATGATGTATTATGAGGCGACCTCATCTAGATAAATGGTCTATTATGAGGCAATCTTATCTAAATTAATGATCTATTATGAGGCAACCTAATCTAAAATGATGATCTATTGTGAGGTGACCTTTTTGGAAAGGATAGTCTACTATGAGGTGACCACCGCTCGAATAAATGATTTGTTATTAGGTAACGCTATTTAAAAGGATGATCTATTGTGAGGTGAATTTACCTAAAAGGATGGTCTATTATGAGGTGACCTCGCTTGAAAAAAAGATCTATTGTGAGACGACCCTACTTGAAAGGATATTCTATTATAAGATGACTCTAATTGAAAAAATGATTTCTTATTAGACGATCCTATCTAAAAGGATGGTCTATTATGAGGTGACCCTACCAAAAAGAATTATCTATTGTGAGGCGACCCTACCTAAAAGAATGGTCTATTATTAGGTGACCCTATCTAAAAGAATGGTCTATAATGAGATGAGCCCACATAAAAAAAATGATTTATTATGAGATGACTATTAGTGTAAGTGCCTAAGATTCAACCATGTTTGGATGGGCTTGAGTTAATGTTTTATTGAATTATTTATTTTAATAATAATAAAGAAGTCATTCTATTAATTCTTGTGTTTTATGTTTGTAAATTCAGTAAAATTGAATAGAAGTCCTTATGATATACGTTTGCGATAATAATTGATCGAAAGATGTGAGACAAATATTAATGCATATAAATGATATCATTAAACGTCACAAGTTGTAGCATTGTCAAGAATGAACATTGGCTATATATAGATAGACTTGTGAGTTCTATGCTCATGCTATATGATAGTAGTAGGAGATCTCACACTTATTGGTATGATGATGCCAAAGCAAACATTTAAGTGATTTATGTTAGTGAACATATCACTAGACTTGACTCGTCATGAGAACTCATTTGGTTTTTAGTCTATGAGAATCTTATACAAGATGGGTACAAATGGTCCTTAGACTTAAAATCATCATAGTGGTCTCATTAGAGGACTTATGCACTTTGACACTTGTTTCGATAGACTCATTAAAGGGTTGCACGTAGGCAATTCGTTAGATGCACTAGAAATCTAATATAGATAGGTGTATGACTAAGATAAGATATGTCTTATATGCTAAAGACATTATCACATTACACTTCTCGAAAAATCTATGGCCATAGTAAGAGTACACTAATAGAGCATAGTTAGTTTATTCTAATAGTTAAGACATCCGGAAATAAAAAAAACTTATGTGATCATAATCGAACAAGACTTATAACCAAGTTCGAGATCACACTCGTGATAAGTTGACATGAGGATTGAATTGTATGATAACCATGCTCATGAAAGGTAATAATAGATTAATTATTCCTCTAAAAAAATTAAGTAGTCATGATGCTTTGTTAGAGACCAATCTTAATTTATGTATCGGGAAAGATAAAAGAGGAGTATTTTATTCTTGATACATTGTCAACATATCTAGGACTCTCTTAAGTCACACACATAAGTTTAAGTATTCACATTATAAATGAGAAGAAAAAATATTGAAAAAAATTTCAATTATGAAAGTTTTCTGTTTTGAAAAGGTTTTCCAAAATGAAAAATTTTCATAAATTGGAAGTTTTTTAAAATTAGAAGCTTCTTAAATTAGGAAGTTTACTAAAATAGAAATTTTTCTATTTTAGAAATCAATTTTCTAATTTGGAAGTTAGTTCAAAATTTGGAAGCAAATAACCTAAAATGGAAATGAGTTTCCTAATTTAGGTTAAAGGGAAATTATTTCCTAATGTGGACTCGTCTAAAATAATATAAGATTATTTATTTGGATAGTCTAAATAAATTAATTGGGCTAAAATGATTTTGGCCCATTAGGTTTAATTAGCAACCTTAAGATATTTTGATGGAATGATAAAAATTAACCTTATTGGATAAGGATGAATGTTTTAAAGATAATGATCAAAAGTCCACATGTAGAAATAACTCCTCATCTTTGGAGGATAAGGAAACATTAACCTAGAGTACTAATGGGGACTTAACACCTCCCCTCTCCTTATCCTTGAAGGATAAGGAAGCTCGCTATAAATATGAGAGAGAGAGAGATGCAGCAAATAAGCACAAAGAGAGACAAAAAGGAAAAATTCAACTAGCCCTAAAAACTAACTAAGGCACATGGCAAAGTGAAGAAAAAAGAGAAAAATAGTTTTCTTCAAAAACTTTATCATAAATATACTCTTTCGTTCTTTTTTAAAGTTGTCGCAAAATTACCCGGATTGATTTTAGAGGAAATAATACACAAATTAAAACAGGGTAGAGCTAACACCCTATCAATTTTGAATGCTTCTTTATGGATACTTGGACTGCATGGATCATCAATAGAGGTCAAAACTTTTCTCATAAAAGAATTTGGATCCGTGCTACAAGAGGTAATCCTTTATTTATTACTTTAAATTCATGCATGTATCGTTAATAGATTCAACGACTTGATCTTGGGCTTTTAGATGGAGGAAATTTTATTTATTTATTTCGTACCTCTATAGGATACATGATCATTTAATTGGTATCAAAGCTCCATTAAATCTTTGATTATATGATTTGTTAATTATGATTAACTACATGAATTAGCTATGCTTGATTATAAATCTTGTGTTTTTGGTATTTTATATAAATATGAAA